GAAATACTCAGTGACCCTTGCGACATGTCTGGGGACAGAAATCGTATTAATGGGCTGAATTTTCCACTGTCATTCTGGGCTAAAAGCAGGGGTGCACATAGAATGCAGTACCTGGTCTTCTGCACGATTATCTCTGAAAGTGTGAAGCATAGTGGAAATGTTGGGCAGCCCACTGACCCTTGGCCTATTGAGGTCCAGTTAATGGTCAGTTAAAGGCCTCGTCCTGCCCCTGTCAGCAGGGAGAGGCCCATCCCAAATGCATAGATTGGCAACTCAGCTGTGCAGGTCTGATGTTGGACTGAGCGGGAGGCAGTGCCAACTTCTTTTGCATCCATCAGACATACCCCCACCCAAGATATTACTTCTTCATTCACCCTCTCCTGTCCTCTCAAATGCAACACAACATCTGTTGCCCATGCCTAACAGCCTGACCTTTCTGAAACTTCCCTCTCACTTAACTTGCTGTCAAGCTCCAGTCTAGATCTCCATTTGGGACTGCCTATAGTTAACAGCTCCTGCCTGGCTCTAAATGCATTACAGAGCTGTCGGCCATCTGATTGACCAGCAGCTCTCATGCAGGTCCTAAGGAGCAGAAATCCCACCTGCAGCCAACTGGCTGTGAAATGAGAATATAGGAATAGTAGGCCATTCAGCCTGCCTGGCATGCCCCACCATTCAATGTGAATATGGCTGATTGAACATTTCAATGCCTTTTCCCCACAACCTTTTTTGCTTTGGTATTCAGAAATCCATCAATCTCTGCCTTAAACATATTCGAATATTGAGTCTCCACTGGCCTCTATGGTAGAGAATTTCAAAGGTTTGCAATGCTCTGAGTAAAGAAAATTCTCCACCTCTCAGATCTCCTTAATTTTAAAGTGTGCACTTTGGTTCTAGACTCCTCAACTGTGGGAAACATTTTACCTGCATCTATCCCTTTCAAAGTTCTGTAAATTTCAATTAGATCACCTCTCATTCTTCAGAACTGGAGAATATAGACCCAGTTTGCCCAATCTCCTCTCCAGAGGACAGTCCTGCAATCCCAGGAATAAGTGTGGTGAACTTTTATTGCACTATTACATATTATGGAAATAACATCCTTCCTGAGATGAGGAGACCAAAACTACTCACCAGGTACGCTCTAACCAAAGTCCTATGCAATTGAAGCAAAATGTCACTACTTCTGTACTCAAACCCTTTTGCAAAAAAAGGCTAACATTCCATTAGCTTCTTGTACCTTCATGTTAGCCTTCAGTGACTATGTCCCTTTGTATGCTTATGCTTTCCAACCACTTGTCATTTAAGAAATACTCTGCACATCTGCTTCTCCTTTCAAATCACATTTTTGACATACATTCCCACTTAACATCTGCAAATATGCAAATTTGTAAATATTACATTTGGTCCCCACCCCAAATCATCGTGAACAGCTGGTGTCGCAGTATAGATCCTTGTGGTACCCCACTATTCTATTCACAGATTGCCAACATGAGAATTGCCCATTTATTCTTACTCTTTGTTTCATCTATTAGCCAATTCTTAATCCATGACTGTACGTTATCTCCTATTCTATGTGCTTCAGTGTCCTGTGGGGGACTTTATCAAAACCCTTCTGAAAATCTAAGTGTACTATGCTCATGGGCTCTCCATTTTCGATTTTGTTAGTAAATTCAAAACAAATTCCCATTTGCAAATCTATGCTAACAATCTGAAATCAGATCATTATCTTTGAAGATAATGTTTGTCCTGTCCTTTATTATGGATTCTGACGTTTTCTCTAATATTGTTGTAAAACTGTAACAGGTCTATTGTACCCTGTGTTTTCTCTTGCTCTCTTCTGAAATAGTAGGGTGACATTAGCTACTTTCCAATCTGCAGGAATCATTTCAGAATCTATAAAATTTTGGAAGATAATTACCAATGTGTCAACAATGTTTGCAGTCACCTCCTTCAAAACTCTTGAATGTAGACTGTCAGGTTCTGGGGAATTATCAACTTCCATTAAATTTCTGCAGCACAATTTTCTTACTGTTGCAAATATCCTTCAACTCTTCATTCTCCCTAATCACTTGGGTTTTCAGTTCTTGGAGATTTTTTGTGTCTTTATTTGTGTAAATAGATAGAACGTAATAATTTAGCTTCTCTACCATTTCTCTATACTCCATTATAAATTATCCTGATGATGCTTGTAATAGAACCACCTTCATGTTAATCAAACATTTCCTTTTACATATCTATAGAAGCTTTTACATGTTTTTGTGTATTTGTTTTGACAGCTTACAGTACTGTTCTATTCTTCCTTTCCTTATCAGGTTTTTGGCTGTATTCTAAAACTCTCCTAATCCTCAGAAGTACAGCTGTTTCTGGCACTGTTGTAGGCCTTTTCTCTTAATCTTATACAAGCCTGAACTTTTCTTGTTAGCCACGTTGAGTTTTTGCACCTTGAAAGAATGTGTAGTTGTTCAAAGTCAAGCAATAGTTCTTTAAAGATTATCATTGAACAGTCCCACTTTTTAATGTATTTTCCCAGTACACCACCCCCCTCAAATTGTACCTCATGTCTTCATAATTTCCCTCATTCAAATCTAACACCCGTGCTTCAGAATGAACTACTTCACTTTCAAATACAATGAAAATTCTATCATATTGTGGTCATTCATCTCTAAAGGTTCTTTTACAACAAGATTGTGAATTAGCCCTTCATCATTACATAATACTGGATTTAGAATGGCATGTCCTCTGGTTAGCTCCCCAATATAATGTTCTAGAAACATACTCCAGAATCTTCTCCTCCACAGCTTCAGTATTGAATTGATTTATCCACTGTATATGCAGATTGAAGTCACTTAACGGTAACTGTGTTGCCCATGCTATGTGCTTCTCTCATCTCTTGATTTATACCATGTACCACACTACCCCTTGTTTTTGGTGGCCTATAAATAACTCCAACCAAAATGTGCTGTCCCTTGCTGTTTCATAGCTCCACCCAAACAGATTCCACATTGTTTTTCCAATTTATGATCCTCATTTATGGAAATCCGTTCTTCCCTGAAAGAATGTGTACACACACTGTACCTGTTTCCACTCAACAAAACAGGTGGCAGCCATTCTCTGGTTCATTTCTCAGGGCAATGCCTTAACTGATCAGAGTCAATCTTCCTGCTTTAACATTTAAATAAAGCTTGGCAGTAACTGTCAGTTGTCATTAACTGTTGCCTTCTCCATGGCAACACCTCTTCCAGTCAGAGTCCACTTGCCAAAGAAGATCAGGTGTAAGTATATCCAGAGTTTTAAATGAAACAGATGGTTGATTTGAAGGTTTCAGTTTCACATCGACATTGACCCAGAAATTAAATCAATGATTCACCCTGCCCCACCCATTTAAAGTATCAACAAAATTCAAATGAAAGCGTCAAAGAGATCTCCAAGAGCTGAGAAAAATTTACTGTTTGCCAGAAGGATGGGTAAATGACATCATTGGTGACAGAGAAGCCAAATACTTGACTAAGTACCAGGACTGGAGGGTTTGAATTATTAAGGGGAGGGTTTGAGTTATTAAGGAGAGGCTGGATAGCCTGGGACTTTTTTTCCCTGCAGTGTAGGAGGTTGAAGACGAGACCGTATAGATGTTTATTAAATCACGAGGCACAGATAAGGTGAATAGCAAAGGTCTTTTCCCTAGGTTAGGGGAGTTCAAAACTAGAAGGAATAAGTTTAAGTTTAAGTTTAAGATGACAGCAGAAAGATTTAAAAGGGACCTGAGGAGCAACTTTTACACACAGAGGGTGGTGCGTGTAAGGAATGAACTGATAGAGCAAATGGTAGATGCAAGTACAGTTACAACATTTAAAAGACATATAGACAGGGACATAATAGGAAAGGTTTAGAGGGATATGAGCCAAACGCAGGCAAATGGGACTAGTTTAGTTTAGGAAATCTGGATAGCATAGACAAATTGGACTGAAGAGCCTGTTTCTGTGCTGTATGACTCAAAAGAGGGGTGACTACCCTATTCCAACCCTCAAGATCATGCAAGCACTGGCAGGGCAAAGATTTTTTTTTAGCAAGTTTAACGCCAGAAATGACGAGTAGAGTGCACAACAAGACATAGTCTTTAAAAGCACACTTTAGATGGTACAGATGCCCATGTCTACCTTTTTACCCTTAAAATGAGCCAGGAGTTCAGCAGGAAGTCGACAAAACCTACAAAGATGTTAAAAAAAGGGCAATCTTCTGACTAGGCTGCATGGCAAGTTGGATTAATGACAACAAGCTGTGACCTCTTCTCCAAGCCTAAATTATGACTATCCCTAACATCTGAAAACAAAGAGATGACCAGAAGAGACAACACAGATCTGGAATGAACAGTGGAGCAAGTTTACGGGACCCTACCCCTATTCCTTCTTCCATGAGTTGTATACAGATTGATCTTCTGGCCCACATCTCTAATGTGTCTAAGGTGTTCATGATTTTCTAGATATTTATTTTAACAATTAAAAAATCTCAAATGCAATTAATTTAGCACATTGATCCTTGTGCTAATGATTGTCTCAATTGTTTTGGGAGTGAGTTCATTGAAAATTTATTTCAAAGTGCTAATTTATTCCATCACCCAGAGGCCAGCTGCTAGCATTTAGTTAAGGTTGCCAAATATCTCATCGCAAGCAGAAAGCTTACTCATAATTGGTTCCCTTGAAACTTTGTGAAATTTTAGGAAAATTTGTTATTCAAGCTTTGAATTGTCTATTTTAACACATATTCCTCAAATAAAGACACTAGCAGCAGATCTGATTATTGATCATTCACAGCAGATTTGCCAAGTCTTCCACTTTTGTAGCCATTACTCAATAAGAAGAAAGAAGGCTGCTTCAAGCTATAATTTTGAAAATGTGGGAATTTTAATATATCATGAATTCAAATTAATTTCTACCTCCAAATAAAATGGCGATATGTTGGCAAGTCTCCATCCTGATTGATTAAAGGAATTATAGAACACACCACCTAGAATTAAACAAAAGTAGAATATTAGAACATGCATTGTGCCAGCAAAATCACAGTTTATTGGGATTTTTTAACTGCCATGCACTTGTGGATACTTCAATTTTCCACTTGAAACGCCCCAAACCAGACATATAAAAGTGAGTTGTTCAGTAAGGGTTACTCCTATCTCAAATTCAGCATCACAAATGGTTAATCCCATTCTCCCTTCCATGTGTTTCAATTTAGCCATTAGGTCAGCCATATTAGCACATCAATCACAAATAACAATATGTTTAGATAAACATCTGTTTCAGCAACTTTTTTTGTTTGGATCTGGTAGTAAGTCTGCTATTTGAAAAGAGCCGGAGGTCCTTTGATTTATGTTATTCAACCCTCCGTGATTATTCTTCTGTTTTTCTGAAGTGAAGAATCTCCAAAGTCAGTTGGAAATGAGATGTCCGTTTCCTGAGAGCTGTCACTGTTCTGGGATTTAGGGTCCCCTTTCAGCTGGATTTTGTTGTTTGAGATGCGCTGCTGCTGACCTTTCAGTTCCATGTACGAGCGCGAGAAGGTGTGAAAGATCGAGGTAACCGGGAAGGCCATGAGGAGAATGCCACTCAGGATGCTACTCAAAGCTACCACCTGCCCAGGGATACTCCTTGGGACCATGTCTCCATAACCCACAGTAGTCATCGAGATCACTGCCCACCAGTAGCTGCTTGGGATGCTGGTGAAGTCATGCTTGGCACCCAGTTCACTCTCTGCCAAAAATACCAGAGGAGAGAAGAGCGCCATGGCCACACAGAGAAAGAGCAGAAGGAGGCCAAATTCCCTTGTGCATCGTTGGACTGTCAGTCCTAGAGTCTGAAGCCCCAGGGAATGACGAACCAACCTCATCACATACAAAATCCTCAGAGCGCGCAGAACTCGAAGGACCAGTCCTATCTTTTCCAAATCCAGGTTTCCAGGTCCGCTTGGCTTCCCGCCAATTGAAAGGGCATCTATAATCAGGCTGATGTAATAAGGCAAAAGGGCCATTATGTCGATGACATTCAGAGGAGTCCTCAGAAACACGCACTTGCTCTGTGCTTGGATAAATCGCAGCAGGAACTCTAATGAAAACCAGGCCACACAGACGGTTTCTAGGACAAAGATGTTGTAGCACTTTTGGGAGCATTCGCCCTAGAAAAAGGTAAAGAAGAAAATCAAAATAATTACGTTCTTCATGGTTAAGATGTTAAAACTTTTTATTATGTAATGGTTTTTGATTGATGAGCAGGTTATTATGCTCCCCCAGTGGCTTGATGGGTGAATAATCCTCATTGTATGGTACTGAGCTTATCAGAGCTATGAAGATCCTTAGTTTAATTCTTGGTCAGCATTAAGGTTTGCTGATCTCTGCTAAGTCAGAGGTTAGATAGTGTACAGTAACACAGAAGATAGGAACAGGAGTAGGCCATTCAGCCCTTTGAGCCTGCTCCACCATTCACTATAATCATGACTGATCATCCAGCGATTGGATGGTTGGATCATGTGTGGAACTGACCGTAACTCCCGCAATCCAGTAACAAGGCCATAACATTTGTGCAAAACATATATTAGTGTTTGACTGTGCTGCCTTTCATTGTGGAGCAGCTTTCCAGTACTCGCTGCCTCATTTGCATGTAAAAAATCCTATCTGCAAGGTAGCCAAGGAACACAGGACCAGGAGTAGGCCATTCAGCCCATTAAACCAACCCCACAATTCTAGATCGTGTCTGACTATTTCCACAATGCCACTTTCCCCCACTATCTCCCTAAGGCTTAATGTCTCCAAAATCCTACCAAATTCTGTCTTCAACCCGTTCAGCGATTGAGTTTCCACAATCTTCTGGGGTAGAGACTTCTAAAGGCTCACCGTCCTCTGAGTTAACAAATTCTTCCACGTCTTAATCTTAAGTAGCCTACCCCTTCTCCTGAGATAATGCTGCCTGGTTCTACAGTCAGGAGAAATCATCCTATCTATTATCTAACCTGTAAGAATGCTATAAGCTTCAATATAATCATCTTTTGTTCTTCAAAACTGCTGAATATAAACCTAGTTTCTACACTCCTGCTATTTATCTGATGACTGTCCATTGAAAAGTATATTCTTCCTTTGAAAAGGAATTACAAACTATATAAACTCTAAGGGTACCATTCATAGAAGCACTTCCAGAAAATTTTGGTCACTTGAGAGTAGAATAGATCAAGAAATTGAACAATGCAGAGACTAGGAACTCATTACAGGATCTTCTTTTCATGAATAATTCTCTTCCATATTTGCAGTTAAACTGGGAACTGCGCTCTCAGATTGCTGCGCATGCAGAGATACAGCCATTTATTATGCTATTTGGAGAAAGAAACTGCACTATAGTGGTTTTAGAGCTGGTGAAGTATTGCTATTGAAAGAAGTTGTGATTTTTGTACAATGAATTTGATTATAGAGGATGCTGGTCAGATCCCTTTGCATTCATTATAGTACTGGATCAGGCAATACAGGTTATGAAAAGAATAATTAGCAATGACCTGATGGTTCTGATATAGGAGTGCTTGAAGGTTCATAAATCAATAAGTCAATATGAAATGCATCTGGGAGAACTGAGAGAAATTAGGGTGAAAGTGCATACAGAAGCATTGGAAATTTGTGCAAAGCTCATAAGAAACATGGTACCAGAGGATTAGAAAACAGCTAAAATGATTTGATGCTTTAAAAGGTCATGTCACAAGCATGTATCTGGTAATTATATCCATTAGTTTGACATTTACAGTGGGAACTAACTATTAAAAGCACATAATAAAAATCTAGGCAGTAAATCCAAACTAACAATGGTTTATTAAAAGCAAAGATTTCTCAAACAAGTTTATTGGAATCCTTATTTCTGGGAGTTCAACAATCCGTTCTCTCAGCTCCTTTCCCAATTGTGTTGACTCATGTTGGGGTATATTTGACATCCACTGATTACCTTCACCCCCGTGTGTGATCATTCAATGAGGAGTTGAGATGCAGAGAGTTTGAGCAGGCACCCCAGTCATAGGAAAGCATCACACTCTGAGCCTGACAGTGGTCAGAACCATCCCTACCTGTTTCACTGTCTGTCCTTCACAGAATGCACAACAACAGAAAAAACTTGTTTTCGCTGCGCTCTCCACAAAGTTACAGCAGTGGAGTGGAAGCAGCCCAGACAGAATTGCCAATCACACTCTTTGCAGCAAAGGTTATTTTGCAGTAATCTGAAGCAGGAATATGAAGGGGGAATCTGAAATGATTTTCATCCACTTTCTTTCCTAAGTGCCATGGTTACTTCATAATGTTATTTCAGCTGGTGTCTCAGTTAACCCAGCACACCATTGAACCTCAGACATTTCTGGCCCAGTTCCTTTCCAGACAGCTAACTCTCCAACTGAGAAGAAAAGCTCAGGTGAGGTTTATAGCATATAGGAAGGGCATATGACCCATTGAGTTTGTGTGGGCTGTTCATTGGAATAATCAATATCAACAGCACTGCTTTGATCTATTCTGATGTTGGCACATTCATTAGATTAATCAAATGTTTATTTAATTTCCCTCGAAACCTTTCCTCCACTTCCAGTTTAAGAGGCAGTTTAAGTTGATGCCTTCCTAATCTGAGGAAATAATTTTTCACAATTAGCCAATCAAGACCCTGCATAATTCTAAAAGCTTTAATTCATCCTATTCTCATTCTTGATGGGTGGAAATGGTCCAGTATTTCAAAATCTCTCTCTTTTCACTGTTGGCTCCTATTCCTGGTGTCATTGATATCTCTATTAACATGTTCATAGGAAACTGCTAAGATCAACAGTGACCAAACTTATGCTGTGTGTAAATTTATTCATGTTTCCTTACTCTTGTACTCTATATAACAAATTGCATTTGTATAGCACCATTAAATGTAGTAAAAGGTCTCAAGGTGTTTCACGGGCAATCATCAAACCAAGTTTGATGCTGCATTGCAAGAGGGGATATTAGGAAAGGAGAGCTAATGGTTAGTCAACTTTTTTTGCCACTTGTTATGAAAGTCGAGATGTTATTAATCTTTCTCGTGGATTTATCTACCTGCAGTTTCATTTTCAGGAAATTGCCATTTGCAACTCTTGTTCTTCCGTTTATCAACAGATTTTGGCATCTTTGAGTGCACACTCCAATTTCATAGTGTCCAGTCTAAAATCTATTGTGCACTCATTTTCCATATTAAATTGTTTGCCATCTGCCAGCCCATTTGCTCAATTTGCTAACGTGTTCCTGAAGCCTTTTATCCTGTACTCCTTATAGTTTGCAATCCCAGAGTTTTGTGTCTTCAACGATTATTGGGATTGTGTTCTCAAGTACAAATCATCTTTAAGCACCAAGTTGAAAAGTGGACTCAACACTGAGCTCTCAACCTCTGCTTCCTGTCCATCAATGAACTCTGCTGCTATGTTTTCTCATACAATAGAGCAGTAATTTTATATTAAGATTGCCAGGAGACAAGAGAATTGCATTTAGGAACTATGAAAGTGAAAGGCAAATATTAATATTAATATAATTAATAATTATAATTAATATTATTAAACCAAAGTAGCACTTAAGAAAGCAAAGCTGATTGAACAATTATTTAAATATTTTGGTATGTTACTTGTGCAGATTTTATTGACTCCATCTATACTACTTGATGACTCGGGAAGACAGCCAACATAATCAAAGACCCCCCCCACCCTGGTTATAATCTCTTCCAATCTCTTTCATCAGGCAGAAGCTACAAAGCTTAAACACACATACCAATAAATTCAAGAACAGCTTCTTCCCTGCTGTTATTAGACTTCTGAATGGACCTCAAATTTTAAATTTAATGTTGATCTTGCTTCTTGTGTACCTTCTCTGCTGCTGTCACATTGTATTCTTCACTTTATTCTATTTCCCTAATACACTTTGTATGGTATGATCTGCCTGTACTGCACATAAAACAAAATTTTTCACTGTACCTAGGTGCATGTGACAATAATAAATCAAATCAAATCAAATCAAATCAACTGAAAAGTTGATGTTTTGAAAAAAAGGTACAAAATTACAAAATATAAATTATCAGGAAGAATACATTTAGTACCTGGTATCATCCATTTTAAGGTCTCAGCTACTATCTAGAGCAGTGAATGTCAACCATCAAAAATGTTAAATGAAATATAATCCTTTTCAACAACAATGTCAATCTGTTAAAGGACAGGTAGGAAACTAGTTATTGTGCACTAAATTTACGTCTAAATTAGCTAACAAAGCTTTTTCTTTTGTAAACCTGATTCCCTTCTCTCTTGTTGGAGGTCATAATTTCAATTGCCCTGAAATTAATTAACTTTCCAGAATTAACTAGATTCTGGAAAGTTTCCATCAGACAGAAGGTAGCACATATAACCCCTCTATTCAAGAAGGGAAGAAGGCAGAAAACAGGAAACTATAACCAATTTGTCTAGGATCTGACATGGGATGTTATTAGAATTGATCATTAAGGTGGCTGTAACTGAGCACTTTAAAAAACCCAGTCATTACCCTTAACAGGGTTATATGTAAATTAAATCAATTAAAGAACATGATTTATTGGTGATGATTGATAGATGAATTTAAAAAAATACAATGGGTGATTTGGTGATGGGAAAAACAATACTGAGTTGTGTGTAAGAGCATTTCTGGATGTATACCTTTTATTGCAAAACAAAATTGGGACATGTCAATGTAGTTTTGTGAAAGGAAAATCATGTTTAACTAATTTATGGGAGTTCTTTGAAGGAGTAAGATGCAATGTGGATAAAGGGCAGCCTGTTGATCTACTGTACCTGGTTTTTCAAAAAGCTTTTGACAAAGTGCTGCATAGTAGGAGTTTGTACTGCAGGGGGCAACATCTTAGTATGTGTAGAAGAGTGGATGGCTGGCAGAAAAGAGTATAAATGAGTCATCTGATTGGCAGGATGTGACCAGCGGAGTCCTGCATGAGTCTGTGCTGGGCCTCTACATTTTACAATTCATAACAATGACTTATTCGAGGGGATTGAAGTCATGGTAGCTGATATTTGCAACTGACACAAAAATAGGAAGCAAAGTATGCTGTGAAGAGGATATGAGGTTGCAGATGGATATAAAGACAGAAAGTGCTAGAGAAATTCAGCAGGTCAGG